AGAGCGGTGGCAGCCCAGTGACCAGGCAACGAAGGTCCGTGCAAGATGAAGGTGTTTCTGTCTCTTCTGCTAATTGCCATCGCTTGCATGGAGCTCGGTAAGTTCCTGCTCTGACTTATCCAAACTCCTGCAGGAGAAGCAACATGGCGGGATGGGGTGTGTCCTGTTCCCTCTGAAGTCCATGCCTCCCACTTCCAGCAGTTTTCAGCAAAAAATCTGTCTGTAGAATATTTCCAGCCTGTCAGATGATCAGGATCATTATGTTCTCATTGGGATTGTTAATGCAGGCTCTTTAGGAAGTGTTACAAGACAAAGTGTGATTATATCGTGTCGTTTGTTTAATGTAATTTCCAGCTCTCACTTTTTACTGTTCTTGTTCAATCTGACTCTCATCTTCTGGGGTTTTTTTGGTTCCTTTTTTTTTAATATTTCTGTTCCTCTTTTGATATTTAACCCTGAAGCCAGCTAGCCAGTTTAATGCAGTGTGTGTAGTGGCTATCTCTAATTATATGTTGCATGTGTTGTTTATTAAACTTCAGCCACTAGAAACGGGAAGGATGGGCTGGGACACTAAGCTGGTGGCCCAGGTACTCCAGAGCTGATGTTTTCAGCTCTGTTTAGTAACACACTGTGGTTTGCATGAAGTCAAAGACAATTTTGGCAGGCCACCTTGGAAAACCAACAAGTGTGAAGTGTTTTGGGGATTTTCCCCGTTTGCAGGAGGATTTGCACGTTTGTCACCACAGGGAGTGACCCCCACCATCCTCCCTCCCTCCTTTCTGTCCCTGTTAGGCTACCTGCCACCTCGCTGGAGGGGGTAGGCTTGAAGCACACAGTCAAGGCGGGCAGCCAACAGCAGCCTGATATTGGGGGGGGATCCATCTGGGATGTGGATGTCGGGAACAAGCCCTGTGAGTCCAGTCTGTACAAGGATGCCATGCAAACCTTACCCCTCCATTTCCATCAGTGGGATTCAGTTGCTTCTCCTCCATCACCAACTCCACAAAGCCAAACACAGAGGGGTGTTTGGGATATGAGTGTTTTCATTCCCTAGGAAGTAGGGAATCCCCTCATCGCAGGCAGTCCTACATGAGCCGTGATGCCATAACCTCTAATGTTGGAAGGTGACTGCACAGTGGAAAGGACACGGTGGCATAGACTCTCCATCCCTTGATGCTGCCACCAGAATAACTTCTTGCACAAAAACTTATTTTATACTAATGATCCCAAGCTCAGAGTCCGTGTTAGCCAAGTGGCCAAGGTAAGTCCAATGCAGGGTAAGTGCAGGAGCTGTGATTGTTAATTGGGATATTTGCATGCTCTGCACTACTCCAGATCCAGGCAGTGCAGAGTCTGGTTTTATCTGTGCCTGACTGGGATGTGGAGCTATGTTAGGATTTTTTCCTTTGTATTTATTTCCTTCTTACATAAGGATGTTTTGCTTCCTCCATCTTTGGGTCTGCACAGCAGATTCAGCAAGAGAGGAATAAGCGGGTAGACAAAGAAGGGGGTTTTGGAGGATTTTTGGGGAGACCACAGCTCCTCTTTGGAGAGGCAGACCCAGAGCTGGAACAGTAGCCCTCTCTCTTGTGTAATGCACTGACCGTCCTGTTATCTCTAAGGTGTGTGTCCTGGCTCTAGTCACTAGTAGTTCAAAGCCTTGGGGTGCTTGTGCTGTGTCAAGATCAATAGGAGCTTCATGTGCTCACTGCAGCTGCTACAGTAGAGACCAATCATCATTGGTCTCCAGAGCAAGAGATATTTCCTTTCCTCATTATACCCTGTTCATTCTGGGGATTCGTGTCTGCTTGTCAATGGAGAGACAGCAGTTCAGAATAGAACATCATTAATTAACAGAGGATGGCTTGGAGAGAAGGGGACTCTATAGTCAGATCTCCTTAAGGGGCAGACAGGAATCTGAAAGGCAGAATGGAGCAGGAAAGCAATGGAGCACGATGCAAATTTGGTGTAGGATTGAGTCACCAACGTAATTTTAACCAACTTAATAAGACTTTGTCAAGAGTTGGGCAGCTGGGGAGCAGAAGCTCCTGCTGTGACCCAGTGCTGCCACATTTCTCCCTTCTGGTCCTTCCCGACTTCTCTGTCCCATTCAGGTAGGTATAATCAGGATGGATGCTTTGATTTGGTGGGCAAACATTGGCAGATTTTGGAAACTTCATAGTGGATTTGGCGAGCAGAATTTTCTTCTGCACACTCTCCGCTGCAAAGTTGGGATAGAACCATGACATATCTGCAGTTCCTCCAAGCTTTCTTCTGAGCATGAGTGGACTCTGTGTAATTTTACCATTTCCTGGAAAGGCAGTCAGAATGGCAGATCTTGTGTTCCTCTTTGGAAAAAAAAAAAAAAAAAAGAAAAAACACAAAAAACCAATCAAACAATAAGCACAAAGGGAAGTCAAGTTAAGAGAACATTGTCCCCAACAGGTTGAAACCCAGTATTTTCATTAACCTTACTGAGACTGGCAGATCTTGCCATACTTCACTGCCAAGTGAAGCTAGCAAAATCTCTTCTAAGAAATTCCAAGATTTTCTGCTTTTTTATCTCTTCTTTTGCTTTCAGCACTCCAAAAAGAATGTGCTATAACTAAATTGAAATATTTTAGCATTTTATATTTACCTTTTCTTTTAAAGAAGGCTTCTAATATGTCCCTATTCCTTTTTATAGTGTGATTCCATTTTTAAGCTACTGTATGTCTGCTTGTCTATGTGTAAGTTCATAAGCTCTTCAACCAAAAAGGGACCACTACAGTTTTGTTATCTGCACAAACATCTACCCTTCACAAATAGACCAGATAGGTATTCCAAAGCTTGCTTAAAGCAGGGCTTTTAGACCACAGGTCTTCAAGTCTCCAAGTTATGGTGTTTCTTCCCTGCTCTGTGAGATGTCAGCTGACTATCGCTGCTGAAGAGCTGCCTTATTTGCAAAAGTAAAGTTGTTTTATTCCAGCTTTTGGTTATTTTACTGTGTTATACACTTCCTGATCTGCTATCTTTTCCATGTCAAAAAGAAAATACTCATAGCTATAGCTGCTATTTAACATATTTAGTTGTGTTGGAACCTGCTAGTCTCAGCAAGGTTAATGAAAATACTGGGTTTCAACCTGTTGGGGACAATGTTCTCTTAACTTGACGTCCCTTTGTGCTTATTGTTTGATTGTTTTTTGTGGTTTGGTTTTTTTTTTTTTTTTTTTTTTTTCCCAAAGAGGAACACAAATGCTGTGGCTTTGACTTACCCAGTGACAAGTATCATGAAATCTGAGACTAATGACCAAGCTTCCTCCCTAAAGATGTATTTAACAGCTGTCAGACATAGAATTGATGCAAACAAAACATCAGTTCACAATGAGCAAAACAGAATAATAAAGTGAGCTTCGGATAAAAGCAAGATAGTTGCTGGGTCTGTTTATAAAAGGGCTCTTTCGGCTTACTAGTTAGGGTGAAGTTATCTTATCTATTTTCATAAGGCAAGCCTTGCCTGAGCCTGCTGTTATGACACCCCATTTTAGGTGTGCTGAGATGAGCTGAATTGTTTTTCTTTTTCAATTGGGCTTAAAGGGATTTCAGCAGGTCTGTCACACAGATGGGGTGAGAACGGCTTTCCAGATAGACCAAGGAGGGGCTGCTGGTCTGTGATGGTACCAAAATGCATTGCTATACCTGTAAGGTACACAGATTCAGGTGTCTGGCTGGGGGGTGGAAAAGAGGACCTAGATCAGGTGTTGGGTTCCTCAGAAATACCTGCAAAGAGCAAAGTGCCCTGGAAATCTTGTCCAAAAATGGCTTCCTCGGTGACAGGAAACACTGGGTGCTATTTTGGCTTGATATCTTTAGCTTGGAGTGCTCCGGAAATACTGCATCACAACAGCCTGGGCTCTTCAGCATCTCTTTCTAAAACCTCTTCATCTCAAAGACTTTAGGCACTGAAGGACTTGGGCTGTGGTTATTCTGCATGTCTAGGAGCTAATTGGCACCTGCAGGTTTGTGAGGGTCTTTGCAGCTCAACAGGGAGGTGATGAAGAGCATCTAGGAAGTGGTGAGTGATGAGGCAGGGTGAGCTACCTTGGACTGGATTTGGGGACTTGGGTACCGAAGTCTGTTTTTATCTTCTGTGTCTGGAGTGGTACATGTCCCAAGGAGTCTATTATTACAGTCACTGTCATCTTTTTAAAATAACTTTTTACACATTCTTCTCATTGAACCAGAGTCTCAGCACAAGGGAAGGGTTGTGCTTAATTTGTTCTCATGGCTCAGTAAGTTTGATGGAGACAGTTCCTTCTCTTCGGGACACTCTCCTACCCAAGAGATCTCAGTCTTTGACAAGAGCTGACAGAGTGGACAGCACCAGATGAAATTCTCCCTGCTGCAACTCACGTTCAAGTCTGACTTCTCTTTGTATCCAGATCCTTCACCAAGGGGAATTAATGCTTGACCAGCTTGATAAACTTCTGTGATGAAATGACTGGCCTGGTAGATGAGCAGAGAGCAGTGGATATTGTCTACCCGGACAAGGTAGACAAGGTCTTTGGCACTGTCTCCCATAAGATCCTCATAGACAAGCTGGTGAGGTATGGGCTGGATGAGCAGCCAGTGAGGTGGGCTGAAAATTGTCTGAAAGGCCAAGCCCAGGGGGTGGTGATCACTGGCATAAAGTCTACTTGAAGGCTAGTAACTTGAGGTGTACCCCAGATGTCAGTACCGGATCCAGTCCTGTTTAACATTGTCATTAATGATCTGGACCATGGGGCAGCGTGTACCCTCAGCAAGTTTGTAGATGACACAAGACTGGGAGGAGTGGCTGATACGCCAGAGGGTTGTGCTGCCATCCAGAGGGACCTTGCCAGGCTGGAGAAATGGGCTGACAGAAACCTCATGCAATTCAACAAGGGGAAGTGCAAAGTCATACACCTGGGGAGGAACAACCCCATGCACCAACATATACTGGGGGCCATCCAGCTAGAAAGCAGCTTAGCTGAAAAAGACCTGGGGGTCCTGGTGGACACCAGGTTGAACACGAGCCAGCAATGTGCCCTTGCAGCAAAGAAGGCTAATGGTATCCTGGGTTGCATTAGTTGAAGTATTGCCTGCAGGTCCAGGGAGGTGATCCTTCCCCTCTACTCAACACTGGTGAGGCCACACCTGGAGTACTGTGTTCAGTTCTGTGCTCCCCAGTAAAAGAGAGACATGGACATGGAGGGAGTCCAAAGAAGGGACACAAAGTTGAGCACCTCTCCTCTGAGGAAAAGCTGAGAGAGCTGGGCCATCAGGAAACACTTCGTTACTGTGAGGGTGACTGAGTGCTGGCACAGGTTGCCCAGGGAGGTTGTGGAGTCTCCATCTTTGGAGACATTAAAAAACCCAGCTGGACATGGTCCTGGGCAACTGGCTCTAGGTGGTCCTGCTTGATCAGGGGGATTGGACCAGGTGACCTCCAGAGGTCCCTTCCAACCTCCACCATTCTGTGATTCTGTGAGTTTGTGAGTCTATGATCTCTTTCTAATGCAAAGGCAAGGAGCAAAGCAGATGCAAAGTAAGAACAGAGTTGAGGTAAACCAGCTACAAGTGTGTTTACTCTCCTGTGGGAATAACACAAATTAAAGTAGAACAGTTAGATACCTGGCATAAACATGTGAAGCAGGGCCTATTGACTACTTGTGATAATGATTGAAATAAAAACATCTTGCTAATTGCACAATTGAAGTATTGGACTTCTGGGTATCTGCATGTCTTAGCTGTCTGCTGGCACCTGGGGCTAGATCTTCAAAGAATTCGGGCACTGAGATGTCACATTTTGCAAATTCTGTCTGCTAGCATCCAGCCACCGCGCAGAATAGTCAGCCCTGTCTTAGGCAACACAATTACCCCCACAGTGGTAAGGAGGAAGTAGGTGGGTCAAACAGCTCCTCCTTGCTATTTTCATTAATTTACTCCTGATTTTTTTTATCCTCCTCCTCATTTCTCTTGGAGTTGGGATGTCCCAGCAGATTCAGCCCGTATTTACTGCGTGTTCTAGGGTGCAGATCCAAAAATTAAGTAAAATGACCTTTATACTCTCTTGCAGACTACTTATGACCTATCTGCAAAAAAAGCCAGCATAGCAAACCCCCGATAACAAAGCAAGAGCAGAAGGACCATCTTTGTGCCCCAAACATTCAGCAGCCTGGTTTTGATAGGACCTCCCTGTATTATGGGGTCTTCTGTATGTGTGGCTCTGTCTTGCTTGACTTGTTACAGGGAGTCTGAGCCCACATCTGCGACTGTGCTTTGACCACCAGACTACTGTATTTATCATTCCCATTGATACAAATATTCCATTCCTGTTCTCAGTATGAGTATTTTTGAGACATACCCTCCCCAGAGGTACCTGGAGGGGCACGGACACAATGTGGTGGTCCACACTTAGGGCAACCTCATGTTTTTCCTCCTTGCAGCCCAAACCTTGCGATGTTACACTTGCCACGAACCTACCTCTGTTGATAAGTGCCTGACGATCCAGAACTGCAGGAAGAATGAAACCATGTGCAAGACTACTATGTATTCCCTGGAGGATGGTAAGGACAATTACTTCTTTGTCCATATTTTTAACATGAGTCAGCATTTCTACAGGGAAGACGGCTGGTGTGGGGACCAGTAACTTTTCTCACTTAAATATATAAGCCTGGAAGAGAGTTCCTGCAGGGCAGAGAGCAGTCTCCTGCTGTTGCGGAAAGCAGTCTTCATGTGAGTGAATACTTAGTGAATGTAAGCTCATAGTTAATGCTCAGTGCTGAGCGTAGTTAGAAAAAACATGTTGACTTGAGCTTGAGGCATGGAGCTAAATAGTTCTGGCTTTCCAGAGCCATTTGCATGACTCGCACAACGGGTGTGCTCTCCTAACCCAAGAACTATTTATGAAAGCTGGGTGGAGTAGAGAGGCCAGTAGGGATGAACCAAGCTCAGTAAGGTGGGGAGACCAACTTCTGGTCATTTGGTGGCAAAACAGAAATGCCCTTGAGTTTTCTGGAGCTCTCAGGAAGGCATCGTTAGTCTGACTGGTGACCCTACAGGTTATAACCTGTCCAAATAAAGAAATGCACTATGAAGATGCAACTCTCTCTTTTGCATGGTCTTGCTGATAAGGCTCTGGTCATACATGGGAGAGGCAGGAGATAGTGAGCAGAGTCAAAACAGAGGCAGAAAAAGTGCCTAATTGACCTTTTGCAGGGTAAAGCTGATCCAGGTAGGACACAGAGGATGCAAGGTGCTGTTCAGCTTGCAGCCACTCAGTGGGAACTGTTTCCTATATTCCTGGAAGGAAGTAGACCAATTGTGTTTGAACTGGAGCTAAGACTTTGGTGGTGAAGGCAGCTAATATTTCACTCGGGACAAGGAGAGTTCTCCTTCATTCCTCCGATTCCTAACTGTTCCTTCTTTCTTGCTTTGTTGTAGTTTATCCCTTCACGGGAATCTCGACTGTCACCAAGATGTGCTCTTCCATATGCATCCCATCCGATGTGGATGGGATTGGCATGACACGCCCTGTCTCCTGCTGTTACTCTGACTTGTGCAATTCTGATGGTGCAGCTAGTTTGAGGATCAGCTTTGTGCCAGTTGGGTTGCTAGCAAGTTCCCTTTGTGTCCTCTTCTGGACCAGACTGTGAGGAGCTGGTGGGGAGATCTTTCATGCTGAAGAACCCAATGAAGAAGAGAATAAACCCCTGCCAGCCCACATTTCTGTTTGGATGCCTCATGGACAACCCTCAACAGCTCCCAGAAATTGCTTTTTTAGTACCCACCCTTTTCCCATGACCAAGAGAGAAGCAAAGCTCAGGAAGTCCTGAGACAAATTTTTGAATTGACTCTTCAACAACTCCCATAAAATTAACTCTGGAGTTTCTTTGCTATGCTGGTCTGGTTGGTTTTGACCTAAAAAATTCTGCTGTATGAGGTATATTTAAAGCAAAAAACCTTGCACTAAGAATCTTCCATTCTTCCTTAAAGCATTTGTTTCTCCAGGTGTTAGCCAGCAGAATAGCTGAATTGACCAGTCTTCTCAGATGAAATTCAGTTATGCGGCAGGTCCTCTCCCCCCTGCCCCAGTTTTGTGCTGGATCTTTGTGCTGTCTAGATCTCCTTCTTTGTACACAAGAAATTAAGGAGACAATTCTGTGTCCAAAATATGAAGCAGGAGACTAAACTTCTCATGCCAGTGATCTGGTCCAAAGAGGTTAAAATCTCTTGTTTTCTGTACCCTTTTAAGCAGAATAAAAAGAACGTTGCATTAAAACTGCAGTGACCACTAAATTTATTTATAGTGCACCTGTACTCTGATAAAATTTAATATTTAATTCTATTTATTTTATTTTATTTTATTTTATTTTATTTTATTTTATTTTATTTTATTTTATTTTATTTATTTCTGAACTCCAGTGCCACCTTTCAGTATTGTTTATACAGGGAGATGAGTTAGGTTTTGAGGTCAGTCTTGCAGCAGATGTGTAAGACATTTCCTATTATCCCCCACTACAGTGGCCTTCCATCAACATTTCTTCTACCAACTCCACTGGTATGAAACTATCTTTACTGGGAAGATTAGGTGATTTGTGCAACGGCTCTGGCCTGAATTTGGAGTTCAGCGGAATGACTTTCCCCCTTGCTTCAATCCTCTAGAGCATCATCTTCAATTCCTTGTATGTTGGTGAGGGCTCCTACATTTTTATGTTGTCCATCCTGGTCTGATTCTGCATTTTTATATAATCTCCTGTTCAAGATCTACCAGCAAAAATGTCCTTCTCCAACTATCACTCTGCTTGTGATACTTGAAATTATCACTAAAGATGTGATTTGAAGTCTTCTATGTAATAATGCATAAGAGCAGGTTTCCAAGAGAGATGGTACGATTTCCAACCTTGGAAGTTTTCATAACTCAGCTGGATGAAGTCCTGAGAAACCTGGGCTGACCTCACAGCTGAGAGCTTTGATCAGGAACTTGATTTAGACACTTCCCGAGTTCCCCATTCCCATCTGAGTTTCCTGTGATCTTATGATGCACCCACTGAGATCACCAGAGCACAAACCATTATTTCCAGGCATGTTGCAAAGTCCGGCAGATGTTTCTGCAATGATTTTCACCTGTCCTGCATTGCTTCCTATTGCCAAAATGAGATCAAATTTGGAACGAATTGCAATTCTGCATTCACGCACAGCTCCCAGGTTGCTCAAATATAATTCCTTTACTGGAATAACATTGCATAAGTGGCCAGGGTGCTGCACTGGCATGGAGGTGGCTGGATGAACCACGTCACTGGTTATGGAAGGACTTCAGAAATGAGCTGCAGGCTTGCTTTAGCTGGCAGTGTGTACTTTGCAGCGCCCTCTACCTATGAGCCATGCTCAGAGCTCAGTCCCCAGAGGTGTGCGATATGTTTTGGGCTTTCTGCTGCACAAGGGTGGTACATGGAGATTCTCCCTTTTTATCTGCCAGTTCTGGCAGTCAGCAGTTTCAGGTTTCGCTGGTCCAGGGGCTGCATCAGGACCACTGTGTATGGTAACCAATAGTGAAACACCACCAAAATGTCTTCTTGCACGTTGATTTTATTCACACTCCCAGTCTTCACAGCACCCTTTTAGGCTTAATGCCACCATTTCATTAAGGGTAGTTTGTTTCTCTTTCAAACCCTCTGCCTCACAGTTTCATTCAGACCCCTTGTTCTCATAGATGAGCGTTAGTGATACTGCTCCCTGTCTACCTTTTCTACACCATTTATGTTATATAGCCCTGTGGCCACCCTGGTAGCTCTTTTTCAAGGCAAAGATCCCTTGTCTAAATCCAGGTATCACTCATGAACCCATGAGTACATGAACCCATCTGTACTCCAGGTACTGAGTGCCATAGAGAGAGGACCATTAAAAATCCTGAATGAACACCATGGGGAAAGAAGGGTGTCAAATATTCTCACCAGTCACAGGACATGCATGAGTGCCAAGACTTGAAGTGGGCACTTCACGTTCTCGCTGTGCTACTGCTAAGACCTAACACAAGGGATTTGTCATGCACTGGTAAAATGCAATGGTGACAGGCCGCTGGGCTCCATCATGGCCACCTCTGCTTTTCATTGCATCACTGAATGACGTTTGTTACATCCAGAAGCGCAGGGCACTTCACCATAGCTGATAACTTTCTTCTACAATCTGAAGAAACTGAAGTTTCCCTAAAAGCAAAGCTGGAGCTTTATGTGGATAAGTATTTCCTCATCTCTGTCCACAGGCACTTGTGTCAAACCCTATTTTATCTTCTTTCTCCAAACAAAGCCGAAGAGAGCCCCATTTATTTTACATTGTTGTAAATGGAGGGTTTATTAGGATGTGGTCAAAATATCTGGCTATTCATTCACTTGTTAGGGAAAAAATATTAGCCATTTCCCATTCACTGTCCAGAAGTGTATGTACGTCAGCACTTCTGCACATGAGACCAACATTAATTACGTACTAGCAAAACTTGGAAAGAAACACAGCTTTCACAGATTTTTCACTGCACAGCACTGCTCTTTCTCAGATGTGAGTTACTGGGCTCAGACTACCCTGTCCATACCCTGCATTGGTTGATAGGCAGGGCAGTCATGGCCCAGAACATCACAAAATTATCATGTCAAAGAGCATTTAAAAACATATACATCAGGAGCCAGATTATTGTGTTATATCATCATCTTAGAGAACAACAGTAAAAATACCACTGCAGTCATGAACACTGAGAGTACAAGTCATGGGCAGAGATAGTGAAAATGCTTGAAACCAAGCCATTTCTGGGCTTGGGAAGGTGAACTGAGCATATCTGGCTGGTGGAGCTAAAGTCATGTCACCAGAAAGGTGCACAGAAGAAAAAACATTGCCTCTCAATTGCAAGAGATGACGCTATAGCCATGTAGCCCAAGAAACTCGGTACTGACATTGCTAGTACTAGGCCACACTCTTTTTATTGAGTTTGCAAGTCCTCAGGGCTGAGGCTTGTTGGGCTTGCTTTGTCTGAATTTGTCTTGACCTGCCTTCAGCTTTGTTTTTACTTTGCTCAGGTGTAACAGCAGTTTTCCTAATTAGCCAGGTGGCTATGCCTAATTTGCTTTACTTTTGTTTATCTTTGTATGGCGCAACTGTAAGTTTACATAGATAGCCCTAACAAGTTGTTGTATGTAGAATGAGTTATTTACGACTGATGTAATGATGGGGTGTAAAGCAATACAGACCTGGTACAGCAGCAGAGACCTGGAGAGGTGGAGCTGCACGACACGGTACAGAGGAGTGTAGGCATGGGGTGGTAAGAGACTGGGCACTGCTTTGGCATTAGAGATGCCTTGGCTATAAACAACTCACCAACAGTCAGTTAAAGAAATGCAGACCCAGAGGTGGACAAAATTTGCTTTATGGATAACAAAGAGAACAAAGAGCAAGTATCAAACCAATGCACCATACATGGTAAAATGAGATGTGAGGTGGACCTGCACCTTCTAACCAGGAAAGAAAGAGAGAAGTGTAAAAGTGTTTAGGCAAACATAATCAAAATGATAAAATCCCAGTGGATTCTCATTGGAGGAAGAAGAATCCATTTCCACCATCATACTCCTCCCAATGGAGGGTTCAGCTTGCAGATGACGCACTGTACCTCCCTGTAAGGTGGAAGGCAGCAACATTAGTGGAAGAGTGAACATAACACCAGGAAAATGGGTAGAAACTTCTAAGTATGTGTACAACAATTTTAACTGTATTGCTATTGAAACTTTTTCTGTAATCTTAATGACTATTTCCTTTCTATGTCTGTAAGAATTTGATCTTCAGTAATCATAATTCTTTGATTAGACTGTTAAGATTTCATACATAATAATAATAAATTCTTGGCTTTGCATGTAAGATCTCTTTTCTTTTTGCCCATAACAAGATTTCGAGTGTAACAAGAATATGGAGATTCCCAGCTGGGTATGGAGAGATGGCTAGGTAGACAGATGCTTGAGTAGATCTTATCTCAGGGGCTGCTTATTTGGCTGTGGTACACATCTGCACAGGAGATGGTCAGTCTAGCTCCTGACACTGAAGGCATCTTTGTTGTATCTGAGAAACTCATAATCAGGGGACATGTTATTCTGGGGAGCAGTGATTTTGAAAATGACTGGACTGTTGTGGGTAGAAGTCTGAAGAAGAGCTCCTAGGGAGACAACAAAACCCTTTGGATTATTGCTGTGTTTTCAGCAGAACATGAGACCACAGGGTTGGGAAGGTTGTGTCACCTCTCTGCTCTGGACCAGTGGGGCTTCTTGTGGCAGGACATGGGGGAGAGGAGTAATGAGCAATACTTTTCTCCTTCTTTCTTTTGTGCCATACCATTGCTTGAAAATGCTCATACTATGAGTTCGAGGATGAACAGTGGAAGTGCTTCCATGAGGAAAGGAAATCTGTTAACACAGGACTCTTCTCTTACCATGAACTTGGATGGATTCGCCCTAAGGGGAAATATCTTTTGTAGAGTAGTGTAACTGAGAATGGGGCAGAATTACGGTGTTGACATCTACTCTTGAGCCGTTCCTTGTGGCTCCCTTAAGAATCAGTGGAAAGACAGAGAATCACAATTACTTTGACCAGGACACAATTATTTTGATGTGGTGTTAACATCTAT